TTTTGGGATAGAGGTTGCAGAGCAAGCCAACAACACAGTGAGGAAACAGCTCCTCAGGGATTCTGCCCCAGCTGGAGGCACCAACCCTACCCCAGGCTCTCTGGGGTGGATATAGCTCCCCATGGAGAGCATTACCCCACACAGTGACACCACGGGGCATCTCATCCCTCTAGGGCCCAAAACTGGGAGCTGCCTCAGCAGTCACTTCAGTCACACAGCAGAGCTCCCTGCTGAGGTGTCTCCATCCTACACAGCTGCAGGTGGTGCCTCTCCCTGCTGGGACAGGCCTCAGTCCAGTGTCACCCTGCCCAGGCGTCCGGCACGGAAGTCCCTCAGGAACTCGTAGGCAGCAGCTGTGTAGTTGAGCATCGTCACATTGACATTTCCTGGAGATGGCAGTGCAGAAGGAGCGTCAGCAGAGCCTGGAGCTGCCCCAGGACCCCCAAAAGGCTTGTCCCTGTGCTCCAGGTGGCAGAGGTCCCCCCTGAGCACTCACCTGTGCCCGTCAGCACCTTCACCTTCTGTGTCCGGCCCCGGGCAAAGGCCACGTGTTTCAGCACGGGCTCGATGGCATCACAAGCTTCAGGCAGCCCATAGCGCTGCACGTAGCTGCAGGAGGAGGTGGCTCACACCCTGCCTGCACTGCTTGCCCCCCGGTTCCCTGGGGATAGTGTCTCCACCACCCTCTTGGACCCCTCTCCATTCTCCCACTGGCTCACCCAAACTGCTGATGCTTGTTCAGGCTGTACAGGAGGTAATCAGCCATGATGTCCTCCCCCACCAGGTGGTCACGGATGGCTCCTGGAAAAGAGGGTCAAGCCCCATTTCCCCCAACCCTGTTGAGCCCTGGACACACCATCCACGTGGCACTCAGGCACTCCACAACAGCCCAGGGGGGCTGTTAGCAGCAGAGTCCCATCCCAGCCTCAGTTTAGGGTCTCCCCCAGCCACATCCTCCACCTCACCACATATTGCCAGCTTCATGCCCGTCTCCACATCCCCCAGCTTCGGGGGCAGCACACCAGGTGTGTCCACCAGGTACACCAGTGGCTTCTCGCAGACCTGGGAGAGGGGAGGCAGAGCTGGTAATTAGCCTCCCACACAGCTAATGAGCAAGGTGCTGAGCTTGCATTAAGATGTTGCTGTACAGGGCACTTGAGCAACCCTCCGAGACCAGCTCTGAGGGCCTTGAGGTCTCCCAGAGCTGCACAGGAGGCAGAGCCCAGCCCAGCCAGGTGTGGTACCTGGATTCTAGTCAGCACTGCCTTGGTGATGCCTGGCTCACCCCCCACTGCAGTGGCTTTGCCTGGGGGGAAAGGAGACACAGTCATGGAAGCAAGTGACACTGTGCCCCACCCAAGCCCTGGCACCAGGAGAAATACCCTTCTTGAGGTGCAGCCTTCGCATGGAGTTGATGAGCGAGGACTTGCCCATGTTGGGCACACCGATCACCAGGATGCTGTATGCAGTGCTCTGGAAGTGAGGGAGACACAGGCAAGGAGTGGTTGGTTATGAACCACCCACCTCAGGAGTAAGGGACAGTAACCACAGTGAAGCATCCTGGTGTTTGCCAGTCCTTTGGTGGGAGCAAAGTCCCTTGGCTGGAGAGGGAGGTGACCCTGCCCCTGCTCTGTGCTGGGGTGGCTTCACCTCCAGTCCTGGGGGCAGTTTTGGGCACCACAACATGAAAAAGGATCGAAAGCTATTGGAGAATGTCCAAAGGAAGGACATGGGGATGGTGAAGTGCCTGGTGGGGCCATACAAGGACAGGCTGAGGGCACTTGGCTTGTTCAGACTGGAGGAGACTGAGGGGAGAGCTTAAGGGTCTGCAATTTCCTCATGACAGGCAGCACTGATCTATGCTCTCTGGTGACAGTAATAGGACCCGACAGAATGGCTGGACCTATGTCAGGGGAGGTTAAGACTGGATATTAGAAGAAGGTTCTTTCCCCAGAGGGTGTTTGGGCACTGGAACAGCTCCCCAGAGCAGTGGTCACAGCCCCAAGCCTGACAGAGCTCAAGGAGTGTTTGGCCAATGCTCTCAGGCACAGGATGTCCTGTGCAGGGCCTGGAGTTGGACTGGATGATCCCTGTGGGTCCTTTTCGGCTCAGGACGTTCTGTGACCCACAGCAGCCCCCCTGACCCCCTGTGCACACACCAGCCTCTCCACCACGGCTCACCTCGGCCCTGTGGTATCGTGGGCTCTCAGCCACCAGCTTGGCAACCAAGGGGACAATCTGCAGAGGAACAAGGAGAGGAGCTGTCACTGCAGCTCTATGCCTGGGCTGGCAGCAGCTCAGGGGACACTGTGCCAGCAGGATGTGCAAAACAGGGATGAGCAGAAGACTTGGGACAGCTGGAAGTGAAGTTCACACTAGACCAGCCTGCACCACTCCTCCCAGTGGGGCACTGGCTGCCAGCAGCAAGGAGCAGGACGGGACTGCTGGCCCATTACCTTCTTGACGTTGCCATCACGCTGGCAGTCAGTGAAGACAACGTGTGGGCATCCCTGCTGCTTCAGCTGCTCCAGGACTGTCTGAAGAGGATGGGAAGAGGCATTGCCATCACCCATCTGTCATGCCCTGCAGGTGCCCAGCCCTGCCCCGATGCTCACCGGCTGCCTGCGGGGATCAGCCAGGTCCATCTTGTTCAACACCAGGATGTGAGGGCGGATGCCCAGAGCCTCCTGTAGCATGGGATTACGGCCTGACAGCGGGATGTGACAGTGCTAAGGACGGTCACTGTGCTGGGGCATGGGGGCAGGTACCAGGAGGGGGGATGGGAGAGGATGGGGTTGGCAGGGAGATGGAAGAACGGGCAGCTTGGAGGGGGACGGGAGAGGATGGGGTTGGTGCAGAGATGGATGAAAGGGCAGCCTGGAAGGACACGGGGACGAGTGGAGGCTTCTTTATCAGGGCAAAGGATATGCGAGCATCATGCACCTCGACGAGGCAATCCGCGCGGCGCAGCGCTGCCCGCATCTGTCGCAGCCCTGCAACACAGCGCGGGGTGAGCGAGCAGCGCTCCGAGGGCTTAACTCCCCTCACCTTTTGCCATATGCCCTGGGAACCAGGAGGCAACATCGCGGCCGCCGAAATCGAAGCGCTCTCGGAAGGCTGTCGGTGCGATCCCGGCGCCGGTGGCGGCTGCCCGAAGTGTTCCCGTACACCAGCGCATGGCGCCGGCGCTCGGACCCGCGTCACTCCCGACGAGCACAGCGAGAGG